TGGGGGCGGGACCCAGCGCCGAGGGCCGCCCCCGGGAGGGGCCGAGTGCTGCCACCGGCGAGGGGGCTGTAGCTGTCCCTGAGCCCCGTCGTTCTCTGGACCGAGGGGCCCAGGAGCGGGCCGCAGAGCAGCGCCGGGGTAGAAGCCGAGGCGCCTTCTGGGGGAGGCCTGGTGCCACTGCCAGTCGTGGAGCCTGGCGTGGTGGATGTTCTCGGGGGGAACCTACAGCGGCTGCCCTGCCGCCCTGAGACAGGCTCCTTCGCATCAACAGGGAACGGTCGGGGTTTAAAAACAGGTATAGGGAACGCTCCACACCCGCCTTTACAGCTTAGTAAGCTACTTTGCATAAATACTGCAAGCAAAATCCGTTGCTGCTCACACTGGGTGCTCTGCCTGTGCCCAAATAAAAATTATTTATGGAGAACACAGGACAAATAAAAGAACCAAACTATTGTTTTGAGTTCAATAGTTCTGCATAGTTACGGACCAGATGCTTAAAGCATGAAGAGGTGTACTAAGCTTGAGTGGCAAAACATCAAGCTTGCAATATGCCAGGTTTCCTTTTACAATAGACTTGGAAAAATAAATAACCAATGTTCCTTCATCATATTGCCAGTGAAACTTGCAGGCCAACTTGCCCCCTTTTCATACCTTTAGACTGAGAATAGCCATGAAAATAAACATAGTTTCTCTAGCTAAGGTGTGTCTAGCAAGGCTACATTAATGTCAACTGCTAAATCCATTACAAACTGATAAAATTAATCAAAAAGTCATTCTTATTTTAAGGCAGGAGTGCTCATTTTCTTTGTGTGATTATACTGCTAACACTAATTCTAGTACTTGCTAATTCTTCATTTATCAAACCACATGGAAATACTTGTCTTAACTCTAGGAACAGCTTTTATTTTTAGTAATTTCTTTTCCGTTTCCCATTATGAAAACTTGTATGTGAATATCCAACCCACTGAACCCAGCTGTACATGTTAACTTCTCAGAGATCAGGATTTCAAAAATTCAGTTTATACAGACATATCCCACCTGCTCTAGCATCAAAGAATTGGCTATCACAATACCGTCCAACCTTTCCATGAATTTTAGCAATAAGCATTATTTCAATTTAGGGTTAGAAAGATTAATTAGAATTGGCTTATATTGCTAAACATTCATCCAAAACACAGTTCTAAAACTTGAGCAGAAGGTACAAATACCAATACTATATCAATGGAACCTTTAACATACCACATTGTCATCACAACTGAAATCAGAGCTCCTGGCTTCTCTGTTTTTAAGTAATATGGCCATAAACCATTACATTTTCATCAAATACATATAGGTCAGAAACATAGTGACTTGTAATTAGATGGTCACAGTTTTATGAAATACAAACCAGTGGTTTAGAATTGTATCTCACTACCCTCTAAAGTCCTCCTACTGTTTAACAGATTCATTCTTTAGGACAGCTGGGACAATTTCAGGTAGATAGTAAAAGTGGTTTAGAGCTACCTATAGATTTTCATTCCTTTGCAGATGTAATTGATACTTAAACACTGGATTATTAAATATTTCTATTGGTTGTCTTGCACCTTCTATTTCAGCATAACAAATCCCTGCCCCTCACACCCTACCCTTAAGGTTTGTCCCGGTTCTGTTCCCAAATCCCCCCTCCTTCCTACCTAGTCTAGTAGCTACCATGAATACTTCTGCAACTGGCATGAAAGACTTCTGAAACAGACTGTACCAGGCTGCATGTGGCTGGACTGGAAACAGGGATGCCAGACTGAGGCGGAACAAAGGCAGGTATGAGGGTGGTTGGAAGAGACAGCAGGAGAAGGCAGTGTCAGAAGAGAGGTGGTTCTGAGGCTAGAAGTGAGACAATGTAACTGTGTAGACTAATTTTCAATCAAATATCACCATTGTGACAGACAGGAGCATAGGACTTGAATACAAATCAGTAGGTCACAATGAATACTTTCTAACTTGCTGAGGTAGTACTGAGGGAAGATGTGCCTATACAGACTTCATTTGGGGAACACATGAGAAAGGAGATTGTTGGTAATTGAAGTTAAGTGCATACAATATCAGTTAACTAGAGTATGGCAATAAAACTTCACTCATTAAAAATGAATTATTCCCTTAGAATAGCATTAGAATTTTCTTAGAATTTCCCTTTTTAAGTCTCATCTTGTAGGTCTATTATTAAATCCTAAATATAGAATTTACTGCCTGCATGATAGAGTTCAATATTCGCTTTTCTCTACATTTTATGAATGCATTTTGTTCTCTCCAGACTTTAAAGGATAAGTTTTAGTTTGACACGTATTTGAAATCATTAGCTCTTAAGAACTAGAAGAATTACTGGCTTCTTGCAACATCACTTCTATCCAAATGTCCATTTAAATCAAGATTGAAAATTACAAGTGGGCAGTGTAAACCTGCTCTCTAGCAGTAAGTACTTACTGAGGAGGATCATCTACAAATTAACAATAATCCAGAATATACTTGTTTAAACTTTGGCCATTCTCTTAGGAACAGCAATGAAATAACCAGAAACTCTCTCTGCAATGTCAGTATACAGCACTACTTGAGCTGAGCCTGTCAGTCAGAGATGGTTGAGTAAGCCACCAGGTAATCAACAGTCAAATGAACTGAAAGTTGCTTTAAATTGCAGGAAATAACTCAAAATTGGGTAAGAAGTTGTTCTCTGGATATATAAAAATATTTTTCTTAATGTTGAAGTTGACTGGGAAGGATGTTAGTGCCCTACTTGAAGCTAAGATGGGGCAGTATCTTTCTGTCATATTGATGGAAGAGAAGTATGGAACAAACTAGGAGTGATAAAGGCTTCTCTCTATCTACAGATAATGAAATACTTTCCAGTTTACCACTGCAGATGTCCCTCTATTTCAACGTCTATTATTTCCCATTTTGGTGGCTCAGTGCAGTCGTCATGCTCTATCTGAAGGTGAGTCCTGAAGCAAAGTGATGGTGTGCAAACACAGCATGTTTCTGATCGAACACCTCCTGGGACTGAGACACAGCTCACTGGAGTTAGAGTTCATTAGATTTATTTGGGAATCCCTTGAAACTGGAAGTTCAAGAGTATTTGAAAGCCGATAACAACACTGTCAACTTACAGTAGCATACAGCGTCTTCATGTAATCACAAACAGCATGTTATGGAACAGTACAGCAGAAACTTTTACTCTCTCTTGCCTCTAGTATCTGGCCTTGTCAGATTACTCCAAGTTCATCCTGGTTACAGCCATGATCATAGCCTCTCTAGTAGAGGTCATTCGACTCTACCTGGGATACATGGGCAATCTGCAGGAGAAGGTATGTAACCACATGTACATATTAGTTTGCATGAGAGCTTTTTGGAGTTCAACGTAAATAAAATAGTCTACCAGTTCATCTAAGAGATCTAAGTTGAGGAGCTGCTTATTTCTCTTAAGTTACAGTCTGCATCCTCTATTTGCTTGGCATCAGCTGCCACTTAATTTTGTGTATTCCAAGAAATTTTCCCTCAGAAGAGAGCCCTCTCATTCCCTAAAACTGTTTTGCCACAAAAAGTAAGTATGGTTAAAAACACAGTATATGGAACTAATAAGCCACTTCAATTTGCCATTTAACATTATGTGCTGGCTTTTGGAAAATTAAGAAAAATGGAGGTTTTTTCTTCACAAGATTTTGGAGTTTTTCATGTCCAGATGCCAATTTTTAATAGGTGATGTCTCCCTGTTATAGGTCCCTGAGCTGGCTGGGTTTTGGCTCCTGAGTCTCCTCCTGCAGTTGCCTATAATGCTCTTCTTGCTATTTAATGAAGGTCTGAAAAATCAGCCACTGGAGCGAGCAGTCCATGCCATCTTTGCCCTCTTCCTCATCTTCCAAGTCTTTGCAGCCTTTGTCACCCTGAAAAGGATGGTTAACAAACTGGCAACTCAGTTCTGCCTGGAGGAACGTCCTGTGCCTGATTTTTACAGTCTGGGTAAAGAAGGGAGAGCAGTTCCCATGGCTGGGAGGGCCACCAATGCTGGCTGGGGATCACATGCTTGAGGGCTCGAGAAGCTGAGGCAGGCCTTACATTGCTACAGCTCTTTTATTGGATCACTCTTTACCTTCCTACTCCAGAGATATTAAAAAGTAGATCTTGCTTAAGAGCCAACATTAAACCTCAGAGACTGGAGCTCTACTCTGCAAGAAAAATCAAAGCCAATTACATAAATGGCTTGAGTGGACTATTTGTGGACTGTTACTGCATGGGGTAGATTTGGTGGTTTTTACATTTTACAATGTCACACAATGTTTTTAGAAACCAGAAGCCTTTTTTCTCACTGTTGACACAGAATTGTTTTGTTTACAATAAATCTTTTATTTGTGTTTTTATTTGTGTTGATACCAGTTTTCTCTCTATTCTTCCATATATGTTGCCCATATTTCATGTGTGGTACCTCAGTTAAGCCAAAAAAAAAACCCCAAACAACAAAGACATCTTGAGGCTCAGAAAGAACAATTATAAGATAGTGAACAAAGACTACAGTTTCAGATATTAACTTTCAGATCATTCCAACACTAGGAATTCCTTACAAATAAACTAGAGATGGAATTTTAAGAATATTCCTTCCTCAAAACTCCCACATTCATCTTCTATGGGTTAAGCTAGAGTTCTAACTATCAAGCTATTCAAACAGGGAGGTGCAGTTTTCTAAAACAGGATTCAATGTCAGCAGTAACAAAATTATAGCCATTTAAAAAAAAAATTGGTTTGTGTCACTGAAAGGCAAAGCCCATTTCTCACAAGCCAGGGCATATATCAAGGTTCTCTCATTCCTGTTATTTGTATTAATGTCTAGACTAGTTTGGGTAATGGCTAAAAGTTCTTTAAAACCTTTTTCTGTCAAGGAGGGGTGGGGATCAAAAGTTAAAATAAATTTTTCATCTAAATCCTTTGAGTCTTCAGCAGGGCAAGAGTAGTCAGTTTTGAGAGCTGGCACAAACATCCAGACTGCTCAAAGGACTGTAAAGAAGATGTGTCTAACATGGGAAAGGCACAGTATGCTTAAAGCTGCTGCATATTTAAAGTTTCCAGAACCTCTAGTGAAAAGAAGACCTTACCCCTTTATTTTACATCAAAATGGTTCATTTTCTTTCTAATCCATGAGTGAACAGTACAATTAATTCTACTATATTTCCTTCTTCCTTTTCTTATTATAAAACGTATATTATCAGAGCACATACACCCTTGTTTTTAACCAGACTACTGACTTGGATTGGCTATTGTGCAAAAATGAGGATTTCTGTGAGAGAATCTCTAAGTGTATTAAACAGGCACTATAAAACATTTAGAGCCCTGCATTCAGAGCCTGAAAGAGAAACAGTGAGGTTTTAGAAGATACATTCCAAAAACAGTTTTACAGCATTAAGAATGTTTTTCTAAGGAATTTCTAACTGATGCAATGGGAACATTGCACATATTTTTATGTCAACCACCATTATGCTACTGGAGAGTGCCAAGGTCAGGGCTGATGAGCTACAGGAATGGCTTGGTAGGATCCATTACAACAACAGATAATGTCACAATGGGTCCTGACAGGCCAAGCAGAAACACCAAATACCTTGTTTCCTCTATCACCTTAAAAAGTTTAAGTTTTAAACTCTTTTGTGAGATTGAGTGTAATGTATGGGAAGCTTTAATGCCAAATACATCAAATACAATAGAAAGCTGAAAAAAAAACCCCAACCATACACCAATGCTGGCAACAAGGAACTGGACTCCATGATAGGGCCAGGTGATACGATTATAAATCCTTGCTTTTAGTGATAAGGAAATCATGCACTTGGAAGGTAAAATTGCATGGAAGACAATTATCAGGAGGCAAAGATAGAGGGACACAGCTCATTGCTGGGGGGAGAGAGAAAGAATGTTAACGAGGTGATACAGGAAACAGAATTCAGAGAAACATCATTAGAAATAGAGTTGGCTGAAAATGCTCAAGGTGGTGACCAGCCTGTGATGTAAAACTTCAGGAACATATTTGCTAGATACAAGATCTCTTCATTTTCTCTGCTTAGGCTTCCTAACAGGCCTGCTAGTCTAATTTTTGTTTCATTGTCACTAGCTTAAACATTTATGAAGAAAGCTGCAAGCACCTAGAACTCCCATTCAGTGCCTACAGCTGGAGTTTTCTTTCCATGAGTTTCCTACTCCTCATGTATCAACGACAAGAGAAGAAAAATACAATAGTGCTCAGGAAAACAGAACAACAAATGGAGAATCACACTGAAACTTTCCTTCAGTCTTCAAATTTCACAAAAATTGGTGAGATGTCCAACAAACAGAAAATATACCAGTCACTTGTAACACTCAGATTTGAGACATAAAAGCAAACTTCATTACAGAAGCTTTCCATGTTGGGCGGGTTGTAAAAAAGTGAAGGAGAAGAAAAGGAGGAAAAATGCTAATTTTTTAGCATTTATTTACACAACAAGTATAAATCAGAAAATAAATGGAAGAATGTCTTAGCATCAAGAGCAAAGCAGCAATAATGACAATAATATTTTGAAGAAAAACATAGGAAATTTGGGGTTAATTTTAGTGAAGAATTTCAGGAATAATTGCCATAAAAAAATGGAAGCAGTGGAAGGTACGCGAGAACTTCAAGGGGGCAGAGCAGGAAAGCTATCAGCCCTTCATAAACCCTCTTTCTCCTGTTTCTTAGACACCTGTGAGCAGGTTTGTTGTCCTGGGACAGGAAGTACACACTAATACACAAGTAGAACATGACAATTTAAATTTCAGCAGAGCAAGCATCTGAGGAGCAAGGGAGCCTGGTACATTTTCCCTTCCCTTTATGGAACAGGTGGAAACAAAGGTGAAAGGAGGGAACTCAAGAAGACTAGAAACTAGCAGAATTTTATTGAGCAGCATCTAGATGGTTTTGAACACAAGCTGCACAGGAGAGGCTCTTTGCTGCACTAGGGCTTCTGTAGAGAAAACCACAAAATGTATTTTTTGATGACCCAGATAGCTACCAATAGCTCTCCCTTCATGAGCAAGACTTTTAAATGGCAAAAGTCTAGATACAGAACTCAGTTATTTTATTTCACCAAGTCTACTGTTAGGAAAGGCCAAGAGCCAATTTTTAAAGAAATTTGTGCCAACGTTATTTCCTGTATCTGAAGAAATGAGAAAGGACCATATTATCTTAAAATGCTCTTTTTGAGGTTACTGATCAATTTGAAAGTATTTTGTGTTCAAGGGCATAGTTGCCAAATTATTGATATCTAAACTCAGCATGTGTTCCTTGTCCAAAAGAGATTTCGGAAAAGGATTTTTTCTTTTAATAGTTGCACAACTTCTGAGAAAGAGAAATTAAATTTGGAAGAGGCTTCAATTATGTACCCAACTCAAGCAGATCCAATAAAGCAGATGTGAGATAAGGTGCAGATTTAATAAAACCCAGGCAATTGTTAAAAAGGGGGTACAGCATTAACCTTTCTGGATCAACAATTCACTCTTTCAGATTGCTGAAAGCCTTGCACCCATAGGAATGAGATCATACGTTTCACTCTTGCCTTTGTCTCCTATAAACTAGAGTAGACTTACTGTCAATCTTTAAGTAGTTAATGAGGCAGGTAGAGTTGGCATCATTACACGGTCTGGTAAGATAGTCAATAGCAATATTTGATAGCTGGGTAAGGCTGCAGAGATCATTTATTTTGAAAACCAAATTCTGTTTCTCCAGGACAAATATCAGATGGCAACGGTTAAAAAGGACTTTGTTCAGTGCTTTGAATAAAGTGAAGATAATAAAGAGGTCTCCTATAGAAGGCAGGCAAAGCAGTATAGAAGGGTCAGCTGATAAGACCAAGAAGAATTTAAACTGTAACAGAATAAATAAGTTTGAGAAGTGTAACTCTTGAGGGGAAATGAGCATGTCGATGATTGATGCCACTGAAGGAGCCCCTGGGTACATGAAGCAGAGAATTTATTAAAAGGAAATAAATGTGCAAAGTTACTAGCTAGAAATCTCACAGGGACTCAGAGGAAACATTCCCCAGCTCAGCAGCAGCCTACAGGACACAGTTCCACATTCATTAAATACATGCAACTATTGCAGCTTGTTATGAAAAAAAATGTAACATCTGTTCTTCCTTAGACAATCTAAGGTATGAAAGCAATAAAAATACAGTCCCTGGGCAGCACATACTAGCCAAGAGGCATGAGCACAACAGAGACACCATTAAAAAACCCCAAACAAATCTGACAGGGAGCAGCAGGCCCAGCCATGCTAAGACCTGTGGCTTCCCCAGTCAGAATTTAGGAAGTATTAATGAGTTCCTTGAGAGCTGACTCTAACATCCAGTGTTAGGGAAGGGGTTCCTGCAGTCTGTGAAAAGCTGCTGTTGCTCTTTAAGGGACAGAAAAGACCCTTCTTTATTCACACTGGTTGACCCATGCTGTTCCCAAGTAAAACTTTCAAGCCAAAATGCTTGAATACTCTTTAGTCACCACATCCTCTATTTATGGAAAGCCTCCCATAAGCTGAACTCATTGAAGTGGGAATACCAGTTATACCTATTCCTAATCACTTGGTACTGCTAATGCCAGGAGCCATTTATTTCTTACTACTTTACACAGGAAAGCTTATGGCAGGCTGGAGCTTTGAACAGACCCTCTCATCCCATGGAGCTGCTGGTTCTAGTTGCTTCAAGAGGAACCTACTACTTGTGTCAATCCAGAATGATTCTTGTCAGTCAATGAGTTTGATCCCCCGTCTGAATTACAGAAAGCATTTTAGCATGGACATCTGTTCTCTCTTTGCTTTGCCCTTGACCCTGTGGCTTTTTCCACAGGAAATCTAGAATTTATCACAAAATTAAAACATGCAAGAGCACATCAGGAGTTACCCAAGTATGCTTGAGACTTCAGGACATTAATTTAAAAGTTGACAGTTAAAATGTATAGCTAAAGGATTCTGTGTTTAA